TGCGGCCCGTACGAGAGGCGATTAATCTTAAACTTGTTTCGTTCTTGAATGAAACCGAACTATCAACTGAGGTAGATCGAAAGAAAGCAACTTAGATTTAAAACAAAGTAGAAAAACGACGAAGAAGGAAAACTCCGGCTGGAGTTTAGCAGGAAAGTTTAGGCATCTCTCTCTGGCGTAGGAAACTGCACAGAGGATAAGGTGGCGGTCTATTTTGAAGGGGGAAGGGACACGCCTTTTCACGTGTTTGAGCCAATCGTTTGCAGGAGGGCGGGTCGGCAGACCTTGTGATTCACGCCCTCCCGGATCATGTGCATAGGGGATAAAACTTGTTGAAATACACTTCTAAACTAGTATTAATAAAAGCATGCATCATATTACATTTTGGGTTGATGATTCAATCTTCTTGGATTATTCTGATTACAACCATACCAAGTTCGGCATTCCTAGGGCTTAGTGAAATGCAGATACATGACTTTTCTGTGATTAAGCGGATATTAAATTGATCACATATCATAAAAGCTTACAGTTATACCAGTTTTGTCATCAGGGAATCATGAAAACACAACCACAAAACATTATACATTTACAAAAGGGGATTTTTGATCCCATGTGTTCAGAGTATTTCGTGTGTGTTCATGCGTGTTCAAAAGTTCAACCAGCGCTGGTCACGCGGTGAACTTTTGGTCATCTTCTGTTCTGTGTGCTTCGAATTTGATGAGTTTAACAACGGCTACAATGGCCCGTTGTCTAATCTCACAATTCTCTTCTGTGTGTGTGTAAGCGAAAAACCCCAAAGGGGCTTCCACGTGTGTGCGCTTATCTGAATGGACAATGTTCGTCTTGTCACCTTCGGAGGGGTTCTTCCACGTGATCTGCCTTTTGGTCATGTGTCTTGATCAAATGTGGTAAGCGGGGTATTGTTTAGTCATTAGAGAAAAGCGCCACGGGGCACTTGTACCGGTAATTCAATTAAGTCCAAACACCATTTGCTTTGTGAGCAGTGCGTGGAGAGATAAGAACTTGTGGAAATCAGTGATTTAATCAAAATGGCAGATGGCATCTGCTTTTTGTCACAGTCGCTAAATGGGAAGAATGCAAAAACAGCAGTTTAAGAAAATGGCAGATCTGACCATGGCTACAACTGTCACCCCCCTTTTTTTGAATATACATGAAAATGCACATTTCGAACATAAATGGTTGTAATTCAAGAATGCTTTGGAATATAGACGTAAGATTGGTCTTGTTTTAAAGAAGACATTTGGCAGATTTATGTAAATTAAGAAAGTGAAACAGAAAAATAGTTATAGAAGTTTGAGTTTATGGAAATGTACAATGTAAAAAAATTAATGATTCATATTTTATATAAAATATATATTTTCAAAACCTGGGCTACTTTGTAAACTGCAGAAAAATCAAAGCCAAAAATCTGAACAAGTTGTGTTTCAAATTTTAGGTTGATATCTCAAAAAATAAGCTTTCAGTGAGATTTTGTTTGGGCGGAGTACCGAACGCTCAACCAGACTCCATTACTGCCCATATAACGGCGCCTCCATTTCCATATGTGTTTTGAGTAATATGAACCATTATTTCCACAATTTTCATACAATTTATGAAGTAGAGATCCTATTCAGAAGTAGAATGGGAAGTTTGGCAGATTTTGATATGAATTCAACCTCTAATAAACACATAAAAAAGAACACGCATGTGCGTCATAGCTCGCTGCCACATCACAAATGGTGAATTTATTATTTTTTTCTTTATATTTAAAACATTTTCAGACCTTTTTTTTTCTAAAATAATTGAATGGATGCTATCTTTTGAACTCTTGGCATGAAAACAAACTAGGTTTCTACAATTTTGTTCATGATTTTTCATGTTCATTGCTATTTCAAAATAAAGGTCTGAACACGTCTTAGGAGTATGAAAATATTCTTGTTGCAAATTGATAAATTACGGCTCCTCTGTAATTTATTTTGAAAATCAATCACCAAATATGGAAACTAGAGATTGTAAGCTTTCAAATGATATATAGATTGTCAATATTACTTATGGTTTTTACTAAGATATTATTGTTTTAAAAATATAATGGCAAACGTCCCGCCTGTGGGACGGTGACAAATGCAGTATTTTGTCCCTCTCAGGTGAAATGCTGCTGTTGTCCAAATCTTCTGTTCTGATTCATATTGTTCTTTTATTTCCTCAGACTGTGTTTTCTGTTGTCATGTTTCTGAAGCTGTCACCCGATTGGTCATCTCTGCTCTGGTGGGTGTGGCTGCTGCCTGTATTGTGGTGTACGACATTACATCCAGAAAACAGGAGAGAACATAACAGACATCATCATCATCATCATCATCAGACCCTCACAGATTAATCATATAATGTCACATTGTGAGGAGAAGGAGGACGACGAGGGAATGGGGCTTTGCCAGATTTTTTTTTTTTTAAATTCACAACACAAACTGAGACTAATAGGATTGCTGGGTTATTTTAACTCTATGGTTTTCTTTGGTTTATGTTTTCTTATTAGCATTACTATTAAGTATTGCTTATTACTCTATGTGCATTAATCTGTGCATGTGGCAAAGTTTAACAGCATTTAGTAGCAGGGAAGTATCGCTGTTTTTAAAATAATGTAGCTTTTCAGTGTTTACAGTATTTTATTAAAGGTACAATATGTAATAATTTTCGCCACCAGGGGTCGCTAACCTCTTACAATAACCAACATTTCATCTACCGAACTAACATTACACACAAGTGCTAAATTACTACTCACACAGGTCAGTTTATTAGACGAATTAAACTTGAGGTAACGCAGCGCTGTTTCACTTGCTCTAACAGTTACACTATCACACTAAACGGCATTTGAGTTTGTTGAAAATTGTTAGTTAGGTTGTTTGATGGCTGTGTGAGACTAGCAGTAAGCTCAACATTAAATAACATACAGATCATATTCTAACATTTCATCAGGTTTAACTAAATAACACTGATTAGTTGTATCATGTACATTTGCTCACCTGTCTAATAAAGTACATGCAACACTCAAGTCGAGTCAAAGTCATGTCCAGTCGAAGTTAGTCGCGGAGCTCTCGACATCTCGAAAGATGTTGATCTTCGTTTTAGTCCTCTTTTTGTCTCAAAGTCTGCTTGCCATGGTCCATAATGTTTGACCAAAACAACAACAGCGTGAGCGTCCTGCTAGGCATAACCCAGTTGTCCACGTCTGTCACCATGGTTACTATGGCAGTACGAGCGGAAACCATAGACGGCGGAAACCGAGTGTAACGCGGATATGACGCCATTGACTGGCGACTCCCAGCTCACCCCTGCTCACACGTCCCGTTTCCTTGGTTAAAATGGCAATTTTCTCATGATTTAAAAATATTTGGAAACATTTGGAATATTGTAAGTTATCAACTTAAAGGAGAACTCCGGTCAATTTTAACATTGAGCTCATTCTTTTGTAAATTTGGAGTGCTGTCAGTACAGAGAACAACGACAAAAATCGGTGTTGCCTACACCGTGTTATCCTCTTTTTAAAATTTGCACCCTGTTGACTTAAATGGGGCAAGTTTTAAACCTGCTTTTAGCCTCTTAACAACCTTAATGTGTCTTTACAAGTGCACAGCCATGTGAGTGACTTTATTCAGAGTGAACATTGTGAATCTGACTGCAGTAGATGTGAAAGATATGAATAAAAGTGATGTTCAATTAGCCAGCGCACATACCGTATTTATACCCCCACCACCACCAATCACATTTTTGGTCGGACATCATCACATCTTTGTATACATTTTTATTTATTTAAATCAGTAGGCCTAAGCTACAGGACATCGTCTTTCAAAACATGACCTGTGCGAAAGAGAAAAAAAAAATATTAATGTGTCATTGTACCCAGCACTTTTGTACCCTCCACTTCCGAATGCGTCTCTGTCCCCAGCACATTTCAAACCAAACTGACGCCCATGGCTCAATGTTAAAATTGACCGGAGTTCTCCTTTAACAAAATATATAACACTGGCCTTGTGATTTTGGGATATTTGAATGCAAAAATATTACATATTGTACCTTTAAGTGAGGTATTGTTGTCAAGGCACTCTCCTTCAGACTGTGCCCCTCTGCTTTCACCCATTGTGAAATTGTCATGTTTTCCATTGCTATTAAAATTTATTTTGGAAAGATCAAGAGAAAAAACTTGACCAGTGTTAATATGTGACGGGTAGCAAAACATCCACTGAGAAACTGAGGAGCTGGTATCTAAATTGGGACTTCGGCATTTTATAGTCGTCAAGTTAATAGAAAATTACATGGATCGATCTTTCTTTATGTCAATTGTAGCATTGACATGTCAAACTTTTTAACATAACATAATCAGTAAACACATCAGTAAATTATTTAGGGGGCACTTTAACTTTTGTAAGACAGGAAGAACTCTCTCTCTCTGAGAAAACAAAGGAAGTCAACATCTGAACTCTCTTGCTATGAGTACATGATCCCATTCAAGACATGATCGCACTTAAGTTGATCGCCTCCAAATTCCCCTTCCCCATTTCATCTCCCTCTCATGCTGATATCACCTGAAATTCACCCGAAATATAAATGGTTTAATGTGAACAATTATCATTCAACACTATACATGTTTGGTATCATTTGAAATGTCTCAGTGCCACTGTCTGGTAGGCTACAAAGGTTTTATCTCCACCGAAGTAAACCAAAAGGTAATAAGGTTTTTAAGAGTTTAGAGATATATTGCTTCCAGAGGAGGGTGCATCCTTTAGGCAAATTGCATCCTGCTCTCAAAAGGTGTAAATTCGGAGTTGCCGGTTGCCGCCGAACCGTGTCATAGCTTATTACCATAAAGTTGATTTCAACTCTCCTCGCCGCTCTCACCGTCCAAGACCCGCCGGAGCTCGCCGCCGGCTCTCACTGAAAATGAATGACTTCCGGCCACTTTAAAGCTCTCGGCGGAGAAGGTGTGAACGCACAGAAAGATCATCTCTGGTTCAGGGCGCGGCTCAGAAACACTCAGAGAAAAGAGGACTTTAATAACTCTACGGAGTATCTACTATCCAACACTCATCGCTACATCAACATGAAGAGCGTGCTTATACGTGTTCTTTTCTTATTATTTGCGACCGGTAAGTGATTGTTTTTTTTTTTTAAATAAACATAGCTGCAGCACTTTCGTTTTCTACACACTAGAAATGAGCATTTTCTTTTCAATATTTTCTTCAAAATTTAACAACTGTGATCACTAGCTGTAGGACATACTTTGTAATAGTGCACAATAACAATGACTAGCCTACACTATATTTTAGTACTAAACATATTTTAGTTTAATCAAGTAACTAAAATTAATAGAAAAAAATAAAATAGTTTTTCAAAATTAAATATAATTGTAAAAAAAAAAGTGTAGTACACTCAATGAAATAATGGATATGAAATCGAAGTCAAATTCCTTATTTTATTGTTAAAGGTGACTTTTTAAACCTTTTTTAAACCATATGAAATTGGAAATTAATTCAATGATTTTTTTTCATAAGAGAGAAGACATTTAGTTTGGCAGAACCAGTTTGCCACATCTTTAAAATCAGTATTGTAAAGGGGATTTTTTCCTTTAGCTTGGAATGATGCTGGAAAGGTTGGAAAGGTTATTCATCTACATAAAAATGCAGCACTGGGTTTTAATGGTCATTATAGTCGACCAATAAGTTGGCTACCAGTTCTTAGCAAAGTTAAAAATGATAGTTTGTGAAGAAATTCAATTATTCCTTAAGGAGAAAAATTTGCTCTCTAATTTTCAGCATGCATATTGTGAGAGCACATATTGATGACAATAACTTAGTAGGAGCAGTATTTCTAGATTTTACAAATTAATGTCACATATAGGCTACTGTACAATGGTTTAAAAGTAAACTGTCTAACGGGACACAATGTGTATTTTATAATGGAAGTTGTGAAAGAGATGCAATGTGGTGGACCTCAAGGAAATTGTTTAGATGCACCGATTACAATTTTCTAGGCCGATTCCGATTTTCATTGAGTTTGACTTGCCGATTTTAGCCGATTTTTTATTTTCAATAACACAAATATTTATTTTCTATATATATTTTTTTATAAAACACCATATACTTTTACCCAAACACAATAAGATAAACAAGTTTAAATGGGTAAATTTTCTATAAATATTTGCTATAGAGTCTTTCTTTTCTTTTCTGACATAGCCTACTCCAGTTCCTTTTAAAACACACGACATGCAAATTCAGTGCATTTTGGGCACTTTTTGTGTGAAATCATTTTATTTTTTTTGTCCATCAAAAGTGTGCTTTCACTTTAATTGAGTGTGAGCTACGCAGCAAAAATAGACTCACCCCCGCCGGTTTCACACTGCACGCGTTAGCAGAGCGTAAGCAGCGCAGGAGCATATCGAGGTAGGCCTATTTTTGGTAGTGGTGGGCAGATTGAGGCTTCGTGAAGCAATGAAACAGTTGAAGCATATGTGCCATATTGTGTCGAGGCTTCGAAACAATCCCGACACCCGTCTCCACTGTGACACCTAGTGGTCACTTGCAGGTGTTGATCTGAAACAACCTTGACAACGAGCCATTAATTTTTTCTTCTTCTTCTTCTTCTAATATGTGACCCTTGTAATGGGCTCCTCGTTATGGTTCCCAACCCTGTCAATCAAGCGCTGAATCGGCGGAGCACGCCACCTGTCGAAACACTCAGAAGCTTCATTTAGCCGAAGTCACGTGACATGGGTGTTTTGAATCACGCTTCGGATCAGTGTTTCGAAACATCTGCGCTTCGGGATCTCGCAAAGCTTCGGAACGACTGTTTCGCGTCAGCCATCCCTAATTTTTGGTGTGAAAAAACTTGTAGACTTTTTTTTTATCTTCCACAAACACAACACAACAGTTACACCTTCTCAAATTCTTCATTGCAGGTGCACAAATCCTATTCTAAATCACAAATTAAGAAACTGGTACGCTCACATTTTTGCTACAGTTGCTGCAGTGAATATGGTGGCTTTTCTGTATGGCTCATGTTTACTTTTTAGCAAGTTGATCACTAGAATACTTTGTGCAATGTTATCTGCAGGTTTTACCGAACTTTGTTTAACAGCCTCGAGCTTTAATGAATATGCATCTCTCAGTGCAATAGTCAGATGTGATTCTGTTGTAATAGTTTAAGTGTAAAACAGCATGTACTTACTTTTTGCGTTAATACTTATAAGTAAGTAACTTACTTGCTTATATTAACAGCATGTTAATACTTTGTGTGATTCCACAACGTAGATAGAGGGAAAGTTGCACTAAACAAAGTATCAATTTAGTTCTCAAACAGAAATAGTATCACTTAAATTATTAATGGTCATTTATTCCTATAAACACTGAATTTTGACGGCTCTCAAAGAAAAGTCTTCCCCTAAAACACATACGGTCCAACATACAAAATGTGAAACATCTGCTAGCTATCTGAATAGTAATAGTAATAAAACCATAATTTGCAAACTTTTGTCTATTTATTATAAACGCTGCTTTTCAACCCTCCTTTCTTAGTGATTTGGTCTTTTGAATTACTGTATAAAGATTATGTTTTAAAGTTAGTCCATAGGTTAGAGTATGGTACTTTGCATCGCTACGGTGTGACAAAATACAGCCAAAGCACTACTATTTACACACATACTATGCAGGAGAATATCTCACTGTAGCTTGTGAACATCCCATTATCTGATTATTTTGGATCAGAGAACAATTTTTGAACAAAATTTTATCCAGGATATTGAAGTGTTAGTTAAAAATAAAGGTATTAATTAATAACAAATACTTTAAATCAACATGAAACCATAATATTAATAAATGTAATATAATTACAGTTTGAAAATTACTTCCATAATGTTTTCCTTTAGTAAAGCTATACCCGTATCACCCAACACAAAGTTTTGCGTTTGTGGTTGAGACCTCGCAGAGATTACACCAATATTAGGGTTCTCAAAACACTACTTTTCTTAAAATATTGTGTCAGACGTATTTGGTAGCATGATTATCTTGTTTCATCGTGTATTAAGTCCATATTTATCAGGCTGATATTTTTAGAAATTAGAAAAGTAAATTTATAAAACAAAACGAACCAGTTAATGGCCTTGTGCCAGGACACAACGGGTTTGAAGATATGTTTGGTTTTTAACTTTTTTATTCTAACTTTAAAGCTAGATTATCCTTTGACAAGTGCAAAACAGTATTTGATTTTGGGGAAAATCTGGAAAACTACCTTACGCATGCAGTGATTTCACCAATTGACCTATGCCATTGGGCATCTTTAATGCCGTCATTGTGAGTTGAACTGTTTGGTGTTTTGCAGCACCTATTTATTTTGCAAAAACATTGCATCAGTCAAATAATATATTATATTTTTTACTTTATACTTATTAGGAAATGAATTGAAATGGAACCTTTGTATTAATAAGAAAAGTACATTTTAAAAGAAGATTAAAATAAAAAATACCAATTAATGACATTGTGTCAGAACACAGCAAATATAAAGAAGTGCTTTTACATTTTTGTTCAAACTTTAAAGTGTAATACAAATTGTATAGTGTATTTGATAAAATTAGCTCTGCCAGTGTTCTGACTTTTCCTCTTAAAGCAGCACTAAGTAGGAATTCCGTTTTTGTCAAACAGCGACCCCTAGAGTCGCTGTGGAGTACTTGTACTGTCGTGAATAGCACTCACGCAGAGATGGCTCGCACTCACGGCCGGATCCCCTCCCCCTGTACACCGGTACCTGTTCAGTAGGATGGACGCTGTAACAAATGGAAATAAGGTATGGCCCCTTTAAGAGCTGCACGCGCCCTGTTTAAAGGAGCTGTATGTAAGAAATGTATTTCAATTAATCATAAAATGGTCCTGATGTGTCACTAGACATTAAGAAATCATGTTAATTTCAAATACTTTTATGACTGACAACTAGGGCTGGGTAAAAAATATCGATTTCTCGATATTAATCGATTCTCATTTTTACGAACCGATATCGATTCTTAAATCTCACGAATCGATTAGTCATCCTGTTTTCATTTGATGAATGAATGGAACATTGCTACGCGCATCCCATCCAATAAATCGCAATAATCTTTTGGCGCTGTGGCGTGAGATCGCTCTGGCTCAGCTCAGCTCAAGAGAAGTAGCAGCGCGCGCGCACATGATCTCCTCTTCCACATTAATAATAGCAGTTACAGCGCGAAATAGACATGAATGAGCATCTGAAGTGTGTTAAAAGATAGAGTACAACTTATTGAAATCCGTATCATGCTCACATGAAATCGCTCAATCGTGTTTCAACCGTGGAAAGACGTCAGTTAAACAGCATGTCATGTAACGTCACATTTACCTCAGAAAAAAACATAGATGGAAAAAACATGTGACCATAAACTCGTTAGTCAGCTAGAAAAAATAACTCTAGAGAGGAGGATTGTGTTAAAGGGATACTCCACTTTTTTTGGAAATAGGCTCATTTTACAACGCCCCCAGAGTTAAACAGTTGAGTTTTACCGTTTTCGAATCCATTCAGCCCATTTTCTGATATTTAGAAGAATATCAGTAACCAGACAGTTTCTGGCCTCATTGACTTCCATAGTAGGAAAAAATATATACTATGCAAGTCAATGAGACCAGAAACTGTCTGGTTACTGATTTTCTTCTAAATATCAGAAAATCGTCTGAATGGATTCGAAAACGATATTTTACCTTCAACATTATAGTAGGCTAATGAAGCCTATAGGCTACAACTGACTCCCATAGTTTACAGCATTAAATAAGAGATTTGTTTTCCTTGAGAAAATTTGCTCTGTATTGTACCTGTCTGATATCCAAAATAATCAATAGTGAATCGAAACGAATCGTAATCGAAATCGAAATCGAATCGAATTGTGAAATTTGTGTCAATACCCAGCCCTACTGACAACAGTAGTCTGGCCAGGATATTGTCATTTAAAAAATGAAGTTGCAGCCCTCAACTGATGTTGATGTTGTCCTCTTGTGTTTTGGCCTGAAGCCCCACCCTCCACCTATCTACCAATCATGAAGTCAGTAGTGTTTCGGCATCCGGGTTGCCAGCTCTGCTCTAGTTGAAAGCTCCT